CAAACCTCCAGAGTCTTCATCAGCTGAATCTTCATCTGACACATTGTATCCGGTGAAGCTATATTTATTTTATTTGAAACATCATCGTCTTCCCACCATTCGTCAGATTCAATGATATCCGTAAGTTCTTGAAGAGTCAAACTAAAAAAAACAGACCCATTTAGCCTAGAGTGCCATATATGGTACGCTAATAAACAAAGGCTGATAAAATAATTACAAAATATAATTGAACTAAACTGCGGTTATTATACCATTCTTTATACCCTACTTTATACTCGTAAAGAAAATAAAACGTTAGTTTTGAAAAATATAGATATTATTTACTTACGGTCGAGAACTGACCATTTTTATTCTTACAAATTTTTCAACACTTTTTAGGTTATAAAACTGTACATATACCTTTCACAAAATATCAATTACGTGTACACCATCATTTAGGTAACATAAAAGACTAATGTTAAATGAGGTTTGCAAACATCTAAAACAAGAGGTATTCACTTTAAAATTCAAAATGCAAAAGTACAAAAAGTGTCAATACACCTCAACTGTCAAATAAGTGTTACCAATTCATGCCAAAATTTTTACTTTCGTTCGATTACAGTTACAGTGTGTTAAGAAAAAAATATTCTTCATAAAAACGCTTTATAATGCATTTATACAAATTAAATTAAACATATTATTGTGCATTTCTCTAAGTTACCATTAATAAAAATCTTTAAATTTTATTTCTACGCGTATATAATAAAATATGTCTAGTGGCTGTTATGACAGTTTACTCGGCAAAGTGATTCTAAAAAAAGAACACACCTACCGCCTAAATATTTCGTGTTGGTATCAGGTGACGTCACGGGCTATCACGCCGATGACGTGCATCGGTATGTAAATTAGATGAAGTATACTAGTAAAAGATTGCCTACTATAATATTTTAGATATGACCAATTTTGTAAAAAAACTATCTTTTCTGAAATAAAACTCTCAGTTATTTTGAAGAAAATATAAAACTCTAAACATTTTTTTTTTAGATGATTTACAACGTATGCTGTACCAATTAGAGCTGGAGGGTCA